GAATGTGCGGAATGACATAGTAAATCTTAGTTAATTTTGCACATCTGGACCATATTTCTGTTAAATCTCTGCCCATTGGACTGTTTTCTGCTTATCAGTTGTCTGCCATTGTTTTAATGGAGAATAAAAAATGACAAGTAGATGAACTTTTTTTTCTCAGTAATCAGTATATGCATCAATATTTGGTCTTCCACGTAACTAGTACCCATTGTCTCCCCTCTTAGAATTCCTACTTCTCTATTCTCTTTTTTAGCTGAGATGTCCAAATGTTACCCTCCTCCTTTGAAGAGACTCTCGAAGTATGCTCCAATCATCCATGTCATGAAGGTTTGTCATTCTTTATATGTCCACTTTATTTGTTGATACGGTGACTGGACGACCATGTTTACTCAAAAATGCTTTTTTGGCACTATAGGTCAAACCAGATAAAATTAACCTCATCATAGGTTCTGGTGGGAAGAAAGTGAAGAGTATTATTGAAGAGACTGGCGTTGAATCGATTGAAACTCAAGATGATGGAATTGTAGGCTGAGAATAGAACTTAATCTTCTATTTTCTGCAATTACCAGTTCCTATTGCAATCGTGTAATCTATCTTGTGGCTGTTGCAGGTGAAAATAACAGCGAAAGATTTATCAAGCTTGGAAAAGTCTAAAGCAATTATTACTAACCTGACAATGGTTCCAACTGTTGGCGACATTTATAGGTCTTCTTCTGACTTCTATTCTTTTTTGGTTTATACAGACATTGCTTTACAAGGAATCATTGGTTAGAGTGGTCGATTTGGTTATTGCATAGCTTCATCAGCTGAATTTCTGATGCCAAGAATCTCGAGGCATTGATGTTTTCTTTATTGTGAATTGCAGAAACTAATCTTTTATACTTCTGTATTTCTTTTGCTTTGCTGATGTTGATGTACTTCAATTGATCTCAATTGACCGATTAACTAGAATTACATCAGACTGTGTTTTCACATTCAGGAATTGCGAGATCAAATCCATTGCTCCTTATGGAGTATTTATCGAAATATCTCCTGGCCGAGAGGTATATATTCCCAATTCTCAAAGCATTTATGCCTTATACTTTGTACCATTAAAATTTGTTCTTTGGAACGATCTTTGACAAATTTTCTGTATTGCTGCTGTTTAACGATATGTTACTTGAGATGGTGGGCAAAAGGAACATGTCTAATTTATCATGCTTTCAACTGCACTACAGGGACTGTGCCATATTAGTGAGTTGAGCACAAATTGGCTAGCAAAGGCAGAAGATGTAAGTATTTCTGGTTCTGTAATTAAATTTATGAAGACCGTGATGTAATGACTTATTACTACATATTTACAGGTTTTCAAAGTCGGGGATCGCATCGATGTTAAGCTCATTGAGGTTTGGAGCTCTCTCCCTTTAAGTTGCAAGTGCATCAATGTTATTCAATTTTTCCATGTCAGAATTTTGCTGCTATATTTGTTAGCTCCTAGGGGCCATTGTGCTGCTTCATCGTCAGGGCTGATAGTTGAGCATGTCACAAATTTTCAAGAAAACAGTTCCATGTATTACGTTGTACAAATGTTTGTTTGTGTAGGAAACGTGATGACTGTAAAATATTTATTGAGGATATGGGAAGACGTTACCTGTTATTATAATTTACAAAAGCTTTGTGAAAGCTGCCCAAGCATCTCACAATTCACCCCATCCCCCACACCCACCCCAAAGAATGGAAGTTTGTTTGCCACCTGTAGTAGATTACTAGATTTTATTGTTTACTTTAATGAATTACACCCAATAGCCTTCTACAAATTGTTTTTTCTTTCCTTTTTTGTTTTAGGCCTCTTGAACCAGTTTCGAATTCGCATTTTCTCTTTTGAGACACTGAACCATCTATTAACATCAAAATTTGATGTATTGCTCAATGAACAGCTATAGATCTATGAAATAACTCCTCCCTCCGAATTTCAGTTTCACCTTGGACTTTTCATCAAGTCTTTCATATCACTCAAGATTCTATTTATGTAACCCTTGTTTATAGAAAACTATCCTCGATAACATGAGCATATGCTATACAGATCAATGAGAAAGGGCAACTTCGGTTAAGCCATCGCGCATTACTTCCAGATCCCAACCCAGAGAAGCAGAACGCGAAGGAACGTACAGGTAACCTTGTCAAGGAAGGTACAATTTCACAGAAAGCTCCTGAGAAGGGTAAGCAGAAGAAAACTTCAAGCGGCTCAAAGGATGCTACAACAGTTGAAAATGCTGAACCAATCGAGGAGAAAATTCCATTTTTGTTTTATTTTTTTTTTTTTCAAATTTTTTTTACGGGCCGCGGGTTAACCGCGGCCCGTGGGGGTGCAACCCGCGAAGCCCGCGGGTTACACCTCCTTGACCCGTGAACCGCCCGCACGGGTCACGGGTCGGCCCGCGGTCCCGGTTTTTACGGGTCATGGCCGGCCCGACCGTCTTGACACCTCTACTTGAGATGGTGGGAAAAAGGAACATGTCTAATTTATCATGCTTTCGACTGCACTACAGGGACTCTGCCATATTAGTGAGTTGAGCACAAATTGGCTAGCAAAGGCAGAAGATGTAAGTATTTCTGGTTCTGTAATTAAATTTATGAAGACCGTGATGTAACGATTTTTTACTACATATTTACAGGTTTTCAAAGTCGGGGATCGCATCGATATTAAGCTCATTGAGGTTTGGAGCTCTCTCCCTTTAAGTTGCAAGTGCATCAATGTTATTCAATTTTTCCATGTCAGAATTTTGCTGCTATATTTGTTATCTCCTAGGGGCCATTGTGCTGCTTCATCGTCAGGGCTGATAGTTGAGCATGTCACAAATTTTCAAGAAAACAGTTCCATGTATTACGTTGTACAAATGTTTGTTTGTGTAGGAAACGTAATGACTGTAAAATATTTATTGAGGATATGGGAAGACGTTACCTGTTATTATAATTTACAAAAGCTTTGTGAAAGCTGCCCAAGCATCTCACAATTCACCCCACCCCACCCCCCCACACCCACCCCAAAGAATGGAAGTTTGTTTGCCACCTGTAGTAGATTACTAGATTTTATTGTTTACTTTAATGAATTACACCCAATAGCCTTCTATAAATTGTTTTTTCTTTCCTTTTTTGTTTTAGGCCTCTTGAACCAGTTTCGAATTCGCATTTTCTCTTTGAGACACTGAACCATCTATTGACATCAAAATTTGATGTATTGCTCAATGAACAGCTATAGATCTATGAAATAACTCCTTCCTCCGAATTTCAGTTTCACCTTGGACTTTTCATCAAGTGCTTTACTGTCTTTCATATCACTCAAGATTCTATTTATGTAACCCTTGTTTATAGAAAACTATCCTCGATAACATGAGCATATGCTATACAGATCAATGAGAAAGGGCAACTTCGGTTAAGCCATCGTGCATTACTTCCAGATCCCAACCCAGAGAAGCAGAATGCGAAGGAACATACAGGTAACCTTGTCAAGGAAGGTACAATTTCACAGAAAGCTCCTGAGAAGGGTAAGCAGAAGAAAACTTCAAGCGGCTCAAAGGATGCTACAACAGTTGAAAATGCTGAACCAATCGAGGAGAAAATTCCAACTATTGAACTAACAAGTCCGTCCAACAGTAAGCCAGCAGAGGCCGATGCACCCACGGAGGATAAGTTTGTCAAGAAATCAGTAATTCCCGTGAAGGATGCACCTGCAACTAACAAAGATAGGCCAAAAAAGAGCAGTAATAAACCTGCAGTCAACATTTCCAACAAAAGTAAAAGTGCACTTGTAAATGGAGAGGCCAAAATTGGATAACAAATACAATGTGTCGATAAGGTTTTCATGTAGTCATGGTGATTGACATTCCTCTCTCTTGGGCAACAAAGGTATGAGCTGTAGTTTTTTCCTAATCTCTTTATCATCTGGTTTATCAATTATTCTATACAGACCTTCCCTTGTGACCAAGGTACCTCATTGGACGATCAGTTCATTGAATTTTATCAGTTTGAAATGTGTCGAATTTGTACCCGGACTCTAAAATGTCATTCTCTTTTGATAGTATAATCCTGTCAATGGAGACTAGTATGTCTACATCCTTTCATGTACTAATGGAAGTGGAGCGTACCTAGCACGAAATGGCTTTCGTGTATAATACCTCGAAGAGATGATTGTAGCCAGAGAGGATACATTTTCTTTTTACTTCAACACTCCACATTTGCTGCGGGGAAGGTTGTTGTGAGGTTTGCAGCCTGATGGCCAAATTCTGCAGGTTACAATTTGGTTACTATCATTAGGATGTTAGTCGGGAGCTATATTACTTTTTCTTCTGCAGTTTCGTGAATTTTTGGCGCCTTTTGGTGTAATCAGCACATAAAGAGATTTTAACTCCAGTTAGATCAATATGATAGTTGGGTTTTTTCTTGTTCTAAAGCAGTCAACTTTGTTTTGTTTTTAATTGTTGATGCTACCTATGCTGTCGCGTTGTGCTAAATGCATGCTATGTAATTAAAAACTTCTTTCTTGTGTGCTATTTGCTCAGAGACTTCGATCACATGGTCACAGGATTTTGAAATTTTGTGAATCTCAAAATGATGTCTACGGTGACCCATTTTGTAGGTTGAACAACTACGAAAATGAAAGTCTTTTACTGAAAGTACGACTCTTCGTGTCATTTTGTTCGCTTAAGGTCCATTTGGCAGCCACCTTCGTCTACTGGCTTTTTAAACTAAACAAAGCACTTTCAAAAAAAGTATTCAAATATATTCAAAATAACTTCTAGTTTTTAGAAGCAGTTTTTGGTTTTTCAAAAGTCTTGTCAAATAGGTCATTGCGTAAGCGAGCTACGCTCGGAGAATTTGTTATTCCATTGAAAGAAATATGGTCTGCAATTTATTTGCAAGGGAACTATATTGAAAAAAATCCCGGCACTAAAACATGCAGACGAATATGTTTTCCCCAAGAACGACAACCAAATAAAGACCAAAAACCTCGTATACGAGGGTTAAAACTGGAATTGCATCTCTGAGGTATATCCAAGAGCTTCTAAATGAGCAGCCATGGCCTTGTTCATAGGAGGCGGTCCACATCTCAATATCTGCACAACAGAAAAAATTCGTTGAGCTTATCCTGTTTTTACATCATTTTAGATACAAATAAACGTGAGAAAGTTACACGAAGATTGTAATAATGCTCATAATGAGCGAAGGATTGCAATGGCTTCCTAACCCGAATATCAGACGCCGGTGCAGGGCAGTGAGCTTGAACCATTTCCTTGGAAACAAACCCGACACCACCATTCCACACCTCAGGAGGCTACAGAGAGTTAGAAACGAGGATAATTAAGGTAACGAAACTTTGTTAAGCCTAATTACAAGCAAAATTATGTCAATGCCTTGTTACCACCATTGGAAATTGGAATGCGATAAGAATCTTAATCCCGGATTAATTTTTTGTGAGGCACGAGATAAGTAAATGCGTGATGCTACATTTCATTTTCGAGATTCAAGTGAGTGAAACCATTGACAAATGTGGCTGATAAATATATAAATATATGCCACATGAATGAAATAAAGGTAAGAATGAACTAACCTGATTCAGTACATAGTAAATCTTAAATTGACCAGGGTAATTAGTAGCAAGGCTATCCAATTCTTCCTACAATCAAACATAAATACGACAGATATTTTTGGCATATTCTTCTGTATTCCTCTCAAATAGTAAACTAAAGCTGGAATATAGTTTACTTGCTGCTTTCCATTAACAGCGAAATTTGCAAGAGTACAGCATTCAAAGGAATACGTAGACGAACAGAGATTAGAAATTACCTTTAGAAGTATGTCCTCAAATGTAACGTTAGCATATATCAGATGCACCTTTGTTTTGTCAATTGGGTTTTCAAGAATAGCTCTAGCAACCTGACATGAAACGAAAAGGACATGATGAGATATGTTATGTAAAAATGCCTTTAGATTGAAGAAAAGAGGTATTAAAGAGATGTTTTCATGTAGACCTGGAACATTGGTGTAATGCCAGAGCCTCCAGCAAGCATTCCAAATGCTCTCACTTGGCCAGTTTGATACTTAAAGCGACCCTAGTACAAAAAAGTTTCTGTATAAGAGCAGCTTTCAAGCAGTAGAAATATTATACATCAGGCAAAAAATCTACCCAAAGTAATGCAATTCACTTAAAAGAAAAAAAGCGCGATTGGGAATATACTGAACTAATTACAGCAGCAACTACGGATCGGAATCAAGTTAATTATTTTGGAAATAAGGTAAGAATTACTTTCAAAATTAGTAACCTTTTCACTCAAAACTTAATAAGCAAGAAAAAAATTAGCATGCCCAAACATGTTTGGAAACAAGAAGTTACTTAAACATAAATTTTTACTCATTTTGAAGCTTAGCTAAACATGCTCCAGTTCAACGAACATAACTCATAAAGCTATCAATTCAGGAGCTGATAAATGATCCCACAATTGCAAACCACTGATTAGGGAGCAAGAGTAGTGGAACATTGAACTTGATGAGGCATCTTAGATCATGGAAGCTGATATCTAGAGATCTGTTTTCTTTTCAGTAATTTAATCATGATATCAGTGCACCTCAGATTTAATTACTGATGCTGTCATGGTTAAAGATTAAGCTCTATAAGCTTAGCATATCTTGATAATTTTAAATTTTTTTTTGACCGTATGACTTTACAGGGGCTAATGCGTAGAGATTTATTTTAGTAAGAGTGGTTTGATGATAATATCAATACACCTCAGATTGGATTATCGAAAACTGTCATGTTTGAAAGAAAACAAGCAAACTTGTTAAATCAAATGTTGCAGGTTAGTGTGCAGATTGCTAAACGACATGTTATTTCATTAATACTCAACTCTTAGAGAGAAATGAAGCTGTGCATCCAGTTTAATGGACCCAAAATTTAATTTTTCAAGATAAAAGTGCCTAGTATCTGACAAGATTTAACTTCTTAAATACAAACCTTTTATTTCAAATTACGTAAGTACTAACTAAATAACACTGTCATACAAACGTGTGAACCCAATTTTGGAGTAGAGAAGCTGACAGAAAAGAAGTCAACCTTGATTATATCCCGTATCCTCACATAGGCTTTCATGAACCTAATAGCATTCATTTTTTCTTTTGAGGGCTTTAGTGCAGAAGAATATGTCCTATTGAAGAAATTTGGCAAAAAGCATTATAAGACACTCAAAACACGGATAACGTACCTTTGGCCCTTTAACAGACAGATAATCACCTACACGCATCTCTCGGAAATGATGGGACATTCTTCCTTGTGGATACATCTAAAAATATGCAAAATCCATATTATACAAACAACCAAATGGGACAAAAAGACAAAATACTTCACTAGCTCTTCACATGGTGCCAAAAGAAACTTCAAATACTTACCTTTATAACTAACTCAAAGTATCCAACATCAGAATCCAAGGTTGTTGGAGTGTACGGTTTAATGACCTCTTCAGCTTGACTATCTTTACCCCTATACATCATGCGCATACAATTAGACGATATTCATTAAATACAGAACCTAATTTCCCTTTTACTTGCAAGTATTAGAATAAATTTACGCACTAGATATGGATTGAAACGAAAAAGTACAATGAACAGGAGGCCAAGTAATTTAAGTGAACCTGCAACTAATGTGCTGTCCAATAGGAAGTCCCAACACAGATGTGGGTGTAGGAAGTTCAAATCTGAATTTTGCCACATTATGGCTGAGTTGCGTTTTCTTCACAAGCTTAAACTCCTTAAAATTCTCGGGATCCAAGCACACTATCAAGTAGACACATTCCATGAAACAAAGGTTTAGATCCTCCATAAAACAATTGAACTTTAAAGATTAAATCTTTATGCAAGATAATAATTACCCAAATCAGAAACTGCATATAGAACACCTATAAGCAAATAAAAATTAAAAAGGGGAAAACCCATAAACTATACAGTAAGGCAGTGTTTGATAGCATGCATTTTACAATTCAAATTCCATTTTCCATCATTTGCAGTGTTTGATGTCCACCTTTTGCCATGGAAATTGTGAAAAAAAAATTCCACTCACGCGCCTAATTCTTGGCGTGAAAGGAAAAGATTTTTCCACCTTTTAGGTGGAAAAACGAATTCTGAGATTGTTTTTTTCTTGCAATGGAAACAAATTTCATAACAAATTGTAAAAAAAAAATTCACTCAATTTTCATGTAAAACAACGCCAAACGAACGCTAAACTTTGATTAAAAAAAATGATTTTTTTTTAAATTTTTTTTTTTTTTTTTAACTTTTTGGCAATAGAAACAAATTTTATAACCAATTTTGGAAAAATTATTACTTTAATGGACAATTTACATGTAAAACAAAGTCAAACGAACACAAAATTTTAAAATTTTCCAGGTGGAAAATTATAAAAATCAAATACACTTAATTAACAATTCTCTATAAAACAATTTCTAAACAATTACTTTATCTGAAATTCATTTTCTTTCCACCCTTACAATCAAATAGACCCTAAGTAATTTATGTAAGAACGTCATTTGTTTGTATTTAAACTTCAATGGCATGTTTGATTTGCAGCTCCACACAATATTCGACAATACAATACAATATTTTAGCTTCTCATTCTTCCTTAACAATCCATCCTACCATACATATTGATTTATCGCCGAAAGCGTAATCTATCCACATAAAAAGGACTGCCCATAAACTCCATACAAGTCGTAAGACACGTCAAGAACAAATAATCTTCATTACCGCTATTATATTCCTAAATATAAAGCCACAAACATACAGAAAGGTGTGTTTGAGCCACATTATTTTGGAAGAATGTATTTTGAAATAGTAGATTGATGGAGAATGAGTGGTTGAAAAAGAAAGAAAAGTTATTGATGTGATGGAAAATATTATTTTATTGAATAATGTGGGGTTGAAAATGAGTATAAGAATGAGAATGAAAAAATAATGTGGACCAAACAGGGGCTTAATATATTCAAAATGGGCATTTCACATCTATGTGTTAATACAATAGATCACAATAAATGATCAAACCTTTGGGTTTCTTGGAGGAAAATAAAAAGTATGCAGCAGCACCAACAGCAACAAGACCAATAGCAACACCCACATATAATTGGCCTTCAGATGTTTGCAAGAAGTCCATAATGCAAGACAAGAACTGATTTTTGAACAAGAAAAACTCAAATTTAATAAGAATTCTACTGAAAATAAAGAATGCTCAAAAAGGGTAGCATCTGTCTTGATAAATGAAGAATTGCGTTGGGTATTAGTCCCGTTGTTCAGATTGGTTCTTGACAAAATTTCAAATGAAAAATAATTATTTAATTTTTCTCAAGGATGCCAAACCTGACCAAAGAAGGGAATCCCAAAGGAGTGGTCAAATAAATCTGAGTACAGTATCAACTCCTTCTACAGAGGAAAGAAACGGGATTCAGAAATGGAAAAAAAATGTCAATTTGGCTCAATGTTGTCAACTGAAGTAGGTGAAGGAAGAGAATGGTTTTAATAGTAGGACGTCAATTTCCTCACCTACCCAACGCCACTTCACCCACCACACGCCCATACTACATGCTGCTGCCCCTGGTTTTCTATGTTATGGCGCTAAAATCAATTATTAGATGACAAAACATGTTATATAATAGAATTTTAAGTCAACATAATAATCACTATTTCAGAAAAACATCATAATATCCTGTGGTAATTTGATATGCGTTTGAGCCTCGTTATTTTTTAAGAATATATTTTCGAAAAGTAGATTGATGGAGAATGTGTGGTTAAAAAAAAAAATTGATTTGCGTGTAATATTATTTTAATGAAAAATGTGTGATTAAAAAGAAAATAAAAAAAAATGGAATCAAACACACTCTTAACATACTTATAAATAACTGTTTTTGTTAAAAAAATAAATACTATAAACGTACATAACTTATCCAAATATATATATTCGGAGAAGATATATCTATAATTTAAAAAATATAGGAATAGGGATGACAGAATGCCCTAAGCATATATAAATATGTTGATGACAAAATTCGGATATATAAATAAATAAATTTAACTACGCAATTAAGAAATGAATTTCTAGTAAACATCTATAGACAAACATTTTCTAAATCCATGTTTCAAAAATAAATCTGTAGCTGGGAATGGATCAATCTGCTATTCCCCATTTCTCACATCAATTTGCTATTCTGTTACCAATGGATTCCATCAAATTCTCTAAATTTCTAGTGAACTCCTCTTCTCTACCAAAAATTACAGTATTATGGTCAGCGTTTGGTATAATACTAAGTTCTGCATATGGAGCCTTCATCTTCATGTTGTAACTGCATTCCAGAGGGACAACCTGGTCCTTGTTACCTTGGACAACATGGATTTTAACTCCGGAACTCGTCAAAGAATCCAAATACTTGTCAAGTAATTTTGCTCCGCCACATATTATGTTATGCATTGTATGCCACGCAGAATGATGAGTATGTCGCGTAAAGTCTATGACTTTAAATGGTAGATCCCTATGCAAAAAATGAAACAAAAAAAACATATTTTGTATCAACGATGTGTTAGGAAAAGAAATTAGAGTAAAAAAATGAAAAACTACAGTAGTTACCTTCTCCGAGTGAGTAATTTAAGAATCTGTTCCCATGTCTTGTGGTTCCGGCAAAAAAGGAAACACACACATCGCCCTAAATGCTCGTACCAAGACATAAGAGCTGAACCGAACAGTAATGGTGGCCATATTCGTCTTGCAGCAAGTTGTCTAAGTGCTGCTAAACTAGCATCCTCTCTTGAAGATGAAAAATAAGGCTGAACATTGTAAAATCACAAGAAGGTATAAGTAACACGAACAAACTACAAATACTTCCTAAGAAAAACCTAGAAGTTATGAAAGCTATGCTAACTTTGCATCGAATAAATCACAAAACTTCCAATGAAATTTATTGTTGTTCACTAAACTTCATTTGCTTCAAAATTGGTTATTGAACTTAAATTTTGTTGCAAGTTGGTCACTTTGTCAATTAGTTTGACTAAAGGAAAAGCTATGCCAGTTTCTCCTTTAGTCAAACTAAATGATATGGACTATAGCAAACGTTTATATCCGTGACCAACTTGGAAAATGAAGTTTCGTGACCGATTTAAAAGAAAAATCAATGGAAGTAGTCGTAAGATTCAGAGGCACAACCAACTTTGACATTGATGCATAGGGAAAACCTGCATTTCTAGTTTTAACTATCTGCTTAAGTATACTTACCGGTGCCACCAAAGTGATTGACTTCACAGATTCTGAGTATTTTGCAGCTAGTGCAACTGCAATCACACAACCCATGGAGTGCGCAACCACATGGAAAGAATTCAGCTGAAATTGGTCGATAACTGATGTCTCAATCATCTGTTGGTGATCCCTTAAGGTATACATACAGTCTCTTGGTTTTGGACTTTTCCCAAATCCCAATAGGTCTATGGCAAACAACCTGTAGTTTTGCTTTATATGCTCAGAAAGATTAGGAAACACTGTCTCTGTCCAGAAAGAGGAAGAGGACAAGAAACCGTGTATAAATATTACATTTTCGACTGCTTTTTCTTCGGAATAGTGCTCCAATCTGGCTGCCAAACATTTAAATTTTGTGTGATAAGTAACCTTTTCACGCTATATAGTTTGAAATGGAGAAAAAATTGCTTGACACTAAAATCGTCAACTTTGCAATGGACTTAAACAGATTATTAGTAAAGCAACAGATAGACACAAACCCAAAATATAGCTCCCAAAACTAAGATCAAATAAACAGACACATGTTGTGAGTTTAATCGGGGAAAAAGATGGTTGTTAAAGAAAGCGCAGCATATATATTTCTTTGCATTTGCACACAAGAGCATAGACTTCACTGAATCAAGAACCCAGGATTTACACAAAGGGGCTGACATTCATTTTAGACAATTACTTTGGTTGTTACTATAGTAACTTGCCTAAAATTCAGAATGCTCAATTGGTTCGGACAGCAAAATATTCGTGTTTCAATTCCCCATGAATCTATGCAGTGAAGGAGTCAAATCGAAATCTTATTATGATCTATTCATTTAGTACCTCTCGGCATCCTAGATTTCAGCGACAAACTTTCATCTAGTAGACTGTGTACTAAAACTGAGGTTTCAATATTAATTGATGTTGTTTGTTCCATTATAGGCAACCTATTTTATTCAGAATTCGCCCATAAATCAAAGAAAAAGGAAAGAAGTTTGAATTATTAGACTTGATTTCATCAACAACTTGTTTTCAATAAAGCTTAGAAGTTTTAACTAGACTTGATTTCATCAACAACTAACTTGTTTTCAATAAAACTTCCATTTCGGTTACAAATTCGCGTTCAACCAATATGAAATAAACCAAGCTTTCTAACGTGCTCCAACTTAAAAGCAAGGAAGCAATACAGGGGAAAAATGAATAATTAAATAGCTGGATCTACAAGAAAATACAAACAGTTAAAAATGAGCCTGCAATTTTTAAGCTAAAAATATATTCCTATCCACAATTTGTTTATAATGGTCAAAGCAAGTTGGATACAAAGATTATAAGCACTTATTATAAAATCTGTGGTGAGGATTTTAATAAAAGACGGATAGTCTGTCATTTCATCCTAAAAAGGCCATCGTCAAAAAAAATATTGACATAACATGAAAGTTCCCACCAAAGACTACTGCATAGAAAGTCCTTGTGTTAAAATGTCAATTTATGTAACATAAATTGAAAAAAAAATTTAAGGGTCCGTTTAATTGCAGGAGTGGAATTTGGGTGGAAAGAAAATAAATTACAGGGAATTGAATTGCTTAGAATTGTTTTTCTGGAAATTGTTAATTAATTGTGTTTGATTAATATAATTTTTCACCTGAAAAATGTTGAAATTTTGGTGTTCGTTTTACAATTGGGGATATAATTTGTTTCCATTGAAGAAGGAAAAAAAAATCATTCTCTTTGTGGGAAAACCAATTCAATGAAAACATGGAAAAGGGGTCACGTGGGGGTGGGGAGGGGGGGGGGGGTGTTGGGAGGAAAATATTTTGCCAAGAAAAATTTGGCAGACAAAAGTTGGAAGTTGTAAAATTCCATGGAAAATAGGATGAATCAAACAGGGCTAAATAAACAAGGTTGCCGTCTCTCAATTAGTACTTAAAACTTTTGGATAAGGTAGTTCCTCGAGTTCTAAGTCTTGACATCATCTCCACTACATGAAACCTGATAAAGTATTAGCCTTTAAACGAAAACATGAATCTTGATTGCATATGAGACGTGTTGTCAAGATATAATTTAAATAAATAAAGTTGTCTCGTCTGCTTCAACGGGCTTTTAGTCTTAGATGAAGTGATTCAACCTGAACATAATACAAATTTAATTCCAAAATCTGGCCTAAAAGTAAAGCAAAGAACCACATTTTATTGGGTGGGAATTGACAAAAAATTCTGGCAAAATTTTATACCTTTTTCTGGTTCTTTGACAACAACATGAAGCTTCAAATTACTGCCATTGATCATCCAAGAAACACAAGATTCACACCCACAATCCGACCACCTATTCCTCTTCCCCGCACAAAATTTTTCATCATTTTTCCACATTCTTGGAATTCTGAGGAATCCCATTTCCCTGAAAACATTTTTCCTCCCATGAATAGTTTCAGACAACTCACTCTCTTCATCAATTTCAAGAATTTCTGCCCCTTTTTCTTGCTCCACTTTGCAGTAACATGAAGAGGGTTTTCCTTCCAAGAATTCATCCAAAAATCTGAAGAAAATGCACATGAAAAAATCCAAGAAATCAAGGAAAAAGAAGATGATGGCACTCGAGATGGAAATGAAGAACTCTGTAATTTTTTGGAGCCATTTTGTGGAAAAAACCGAAGAGATTCTTGTCATTTCCATCACCTTCTGTGTGAGAGAAATCATAAATGGGTCAGAATAAACAAGGTGTCATGGCGATTTGATGTTTGAAAGAAAATGGATTGAATGTGAGATATATATTGTACCACGTCGTGGAATCTGGAACAAGTTCTGCCTTTTACGTGTATGCTTATAATAAGAGTATAAATAAGGAATGTCAAAAAAAATTTGAAAAGTATAAAATTTTGTAAAGTTCAACTTTTATTAATTCGAATTATTATTATAAATTCTTAGAATAATATATGTATATGCAATATGTATTTAATCATCGATTGGCAACACGTCGCTATATAAAAAATGATATTACTTTGCAACAATAAGTGATTCGAAAAATATTATGATCATCGTGTTGCATTCATCGGCTACAAAATACTACTTTGGCTAATAAATAATACAAGATACAAGGTATGTATGGCAAGGTTTTTGAAAAGCAGAAAATTACATCTAAAATTAAAAATATTACTTTTAAACATTTTTAAATAATTTTTTAAAAATATTTTGCCTGGATATAAAATCTTTCACATGAAGCCACTTAGCATAAGCCTGCAGGCTGCAAATAGGCCTTATCTTGGAAATAACTAGTTGCAATTATTAAGTTTAGGACATTAGATAGAGGGAGTATCTAAGAAAATACAATTGTTAATTTAAGGAATAATAGAGATGGTATCTAAGAAAACTTATCATTGACTTGTTTAGGTAACCAATTATATATCAAAATTACATTAAAAATCAGATATATCGATAATAATTTAAATTCTAGTGGTTCAACAAGAAACTAACATAATGCACCAACTAAAAGAAATAGCTTGAGACGAGTCTATAACCGTTTTTTAAGAGTAACACTATTCATCCTCATTGAGATTACAAATACAGTTTAGGTGGCGTTAATGTGACATTAAATGATAAGTGAAATTAAATAAGTCATTTAATTTCACATTTCATTTAACATATCATTTAGAGTCACCTAAACTGTATTTGTAACCCCACTGGACATGAATAAAATTACTCGATTTTTAAATATATTATAAGAAAGATTAGATAAGATGGATTGCCAAATAGCTGGTATAAGAAAATAAAATGATTTTTAAGTATATATGAAATTGAATAGTCAGTCAACTTGACAAAAAATCAACATATACAAAAAGAGATAGTTCGTGATGAGTCTATTACCAATTTTAAAATATGTTAAGATAGATTGTAAAATAACTCTTTTTTAATCGATGACTGATTAATTAATTTATGACCATTAAACCAACATAGATGAGGAATATAATCTAGACACTTTTTAGAGGCTCAACAAGAGGAGAAAACCACAATAAAAGAAAACTTGGTGAAGAAGAAGATCAAAAGCGAGATCCCAAGGATTTTCTTGTATTTTATTTTTTTCCGAATTTGTATTGTATCCTCTAAACTCGTGCTCTCTTTATTACTACTTCATTATGGATAAGATTTTTATGTGCTAGGACGATGATGTAAACTTATTTTTTGAAACTTTAAATTCTTTGATCTTGTTTTATGCTAAATATTTGCTTTGTTCTTGATTGCCAATTATTGTATTAATTTTTCTCGTACTATTTGGCCAATTTTGAGATAAGTTTGAGATGACATTGAGACCCACACGTTAAATGTGTGTTTTAGTCAGTATTCTAAAATGCACGTATATACTTTACATATTCTCAATGAAAGCGAAATACCTCGCATATGGAGTATGCACATAATGATATTGTCAACTCACTTCGTTAATCTCATATGCATGCTTGAACGTCAAAATAAGCCAGCCTTTGTGTCAAAAATTAGGTCAAAATTAGCTTAACAAAGTTCAATCCATTTTTATATCTTAAAAAAAAAAAAACCCCAACAATGATCAAATTAGCCTGAATCATCCAAGCCATGAATTATATATAGCAATCTGTAGGGTTTTGATGTTCAAAAAAATTAAACAAATTTTTCATAGAGTTGCAAATTATGCAGTCGAGCCCGTGCCTCCCTCTTCTTTGGCCTTCCTCTTGTTTAACTAGCAAGTAATGCTAATAATGCACAATCTTGAATGATCAATTGTTGTTATGATGATTAGGAGGTTGACAATAATATCTTATCATTTATAAGAGGTAATATAAATTCTCAAGTTAAAATAAGGGAGTCCGACGAAATTGATTTTGTATTGGATGACATTAAAGATGAATTGGATAGAGAAGAGAAGATTAAATTGGAATAAAGAGCTAAACAAGATTTAGGGTATTTTAAGTCGATGTACGTATCTAATCTAATCCTAGGAATTCATTACCAAGTAATTGTAGTATTGATGATTTTGAGCAATATATTTTTGTTGAAAACAAATAATTACATATATTTAATCATAGGCACGCATATGCTTGTAATGTTTGATACTTGATCGAAACGCATTGTCATGCATTACACATTTTAGAACCTTGGTTTTAGTTCTCTTAACATGTAACATATATTTCGATAGTGAATAGAAATGAATCGCTATGGTTTATGCGATCAATGAATGGTGTTCAGTTGTGCTTAATGTATTATTTTGTGCATACAAATAATATGTACAATTCTATTCGAGAGAGATTATCGAATAATGAAAGGGCACCGGTAGTCAGCACAAGCAAATATAACCAAGAACTTGACTATAGAAATTAATGGAATTTATAGTACTTTTTCACATTTAAATTTGGAACCATGCTATACGAACATAGGGGAAGACATTAGGGATGATCGGAACACACACACCTCGGGGGTCGGACATTATTTTATTCACGCGGGACCCACGCACAATGTGAGGGTCGATCACCTGAGGTGTCAACCATTTTGGGGTAAAATGGCTTTACTCTCAAATTTGGCCACAAGGACTCTTAAGTCACAAGAATAATTCAATGTGTTCACCGACACCTAGACTTAATATATGGAAAATTCAAGGCACATTAACATAGTGCAAATTTGGAACCATGCTATACGAATACAGGGGAAGACATTAGGGATGACGGAACACACACACCTCGGGGGTCGGACATTATTTTATTCACGCGGGACCCACGCACAATGTGAGGGTCGGTCACCCGAGGTGTCAACCATTTTGGGGTAAAATGGCTTTACTCTCAAATTTGGCCACAATGATTCTTAAGTCACAAGAATAATTCAACGCGTTCACCGACACCTAGGCTTAATATATGGAAAATTCGAGGCACATTAACATTGTGTATGTGTAGTGTGCATATACGTGTTTAAAACCAAACATATCTTCAAAAAATTATTAAAAAAATAGATGAGGCTATTCTTTAAAAGATTTAAAAGCTCAGGCGTAGTGCATGTTCGGATTTTTTTACTAAGTCGTTCAAATTATAAATTACATAATAAAGCAAATAGTTATTGTTATTATTATTATTGTTGTTGTTGTTGTTTTTTTTTTTTATAATCGTGGGTGTTCGAATCATCTTGCGCGCACCTCGACTAATCACACGAGACCCTAAAATTTACGGCCACTGAGAGAAAAAGCAGATAGTTATTATTGATCCTACATAATAAATAATTAAAAATTAAATTTCATCAATTAAATTATAAATCAAGGACAAACATGCACATAGATTTCATGTAGAAGCAGAGATTGAACTCACTGATTGGACGGCTATTTATTTTTTATTCACCAAATCAGATTTTTTTAGTTTAATATACTCTTAAAATAATCTACCGACTTTTGAATTTTTATTGAGATATTTGGTCGGTACACGGAGAAAACTAATTGATTATTAAGCTGCAAGTGGCTAAGATCAGAAACAATATTTAATCATTAGGGTAATCAGTTTTTTAATTAAATATTCACATTAATAAGTTGTCAGATTCAAACTTCTATACCAAACAACGAACAAGTTCTCACTTCGACATTTTAGATAAAAGTATCCTCTTTCACATTTTTCTTCAAAGAACCTTAAAAAGTGTAATATTAATGTTTACATTTTATAAATATTCTTGTGAAGGCAAAGTGGTTTACATTAAATAGGTGAAGAAACATTTTCTGCCGTACAAAATATACGGTTCCATTTGAAGTTGTCAAACATGTTCTCTATTTTAAAAAGTTAAAATAAGGAGTTTCTTGAAATCTAATTTCAAACTTTCGACTCTTTAAAATTAAGAGTACTCTCTTGAAGATGCTTTTAAAGGGATGTAAATAGGTGAGGAAGGAAATGATGTGTGGCCTTCTTTTGCAAGAAACGGGGTGTTTTAGTATTAGCAACTTTAGTGGCAGAGGCGAAGAAAAGATACATGACAACATGGATTGTATGGCCGAGTCATGCTATGTGTACAAAGATGGATTACAAAAATGGTTTACAAAATGTGATGTGACATCTTGTCAATCAATGATTTAAAAAACACCTTTTGAAATCAATATCGTAGATTTTGCCACATCATTTTGTAAATCCACTTTCGTCATCCACTTTTGTACGAGTAGATTAATCCTGGTATGGCCTTGGTGATTACACGGTGTTAACAAGGAAATTAGTCCGCCATATACATCAAACAAATCTAATACAAAAGCTTTTAAGGATGACCATCAAGAGTTACGAGTTCCAGATAAATAGCATATTTCTATTTGAAATTTGACCATGACGACATAGTTAAAGTGAGTCTACTAAATGCACCATGATGACTTGAAGATGGATATAACCTCAACGAGATAATTTTTCTTTTCTTTTTTTTTTTCACTTTGGTTCAAGGTCAAAGGCCTAGAACCACTCTCCTTGTATTGTTTTTCTTTCAATGTCAAAAGTGATGTAAAACAAGATGTACATGTAGCATGATTGTTTTAATAATATGTGTCACCAAACACAGTCGACTCATCCCAAAAGATAAAAAGC